GGGGCGGGCCCCGCCGGGGGCTGCGGCTGTCGCCCGGCCTGGGGGCTCAGCAGCCCGTGCAGGGAAGCCATGGAGGCAGGTGGGGTCAGCCTCGGCGATGGGGGCTCTGAGCTGGGCCTGGGCTCCGTACGCGGAGCTTTTGCACCGTCATGCTGCTCATTAATTGCGTTTATTCATTGTTCGTCTGCCCTGTTTACTAGAGGGACGCGCATGATTGCACTTAGCACGCTGAACGCTTCAAAAGGCTGAACAAGCGTTGGCTCATGTAAGGGGCACACTTCAAAAAGACTAATTAGCTGGAGATTGGGGATTAGTCAGAGATTAGTTGGTAAATGTATGTGCTGTGCTTTGAATATGTGATGCTTCCAGTACGTGCCATGGTTTTCTTTTGCTGTTAAAAACTTCCATGAAACCTACAGGATCCTGTTTAGCTTATGAACAGTACCAAAGTGTAAACAGAACCCGGGGGAGAAAAAGTGAGAATGGCTAATATCCACTTTGTTGCCCCAAAGCTTTATCCACCCTTGTGGTGGAAAGCTGCAGTGACTGCAAACGGAGAGCGGACAAACCTGAGTCAGAAAGCGGAGAAGTCTGAGTACAGATGAAAGCCCTGTATTTAACCAGCGTCACCCCTGAAATGCCTGAGAAGTGGGGGGATTCACAGTCTCCTGGGGCATCTGAATGGAAGATGTGCTCATGGAAAGTTGCCCAGTTTCCCCCAGCGACAGCGAGAGTAAGTGTCCTACGTTGGCGTTGCACGGTGCGGCCGACTGGTCTGTTGTCTGACCTGGCCGCCTGGACTGCCAGTCTGTGGAAACAACACCTCTGGTTATCCTGAAGAGTGGAGTCCCACGAGCTGGAGGGAAGCGCTGCCAAGGAGCCTGGTGTCTCTCTGCTCCTGGATTCCTTCCGACAGCAGGGAGATGGCTCCGTGCTGCTACCCGGCCCTGTGCTCCATCCGGGAGGCCCCTCTCTGGGCAAGGCAGTCAAGTTCCCTGGGAAAGGCAGCCTGACTTCATGTTTATTTTTAGTGCCTGGATCCTCCTGGCCTTGTTCCTATTTTAGAACCTGGTAGGGTTTTTTTTCCAGGGCATAGATTTAACCCAACTCATGAGTCCATTGCTCTCTGAAATGGCCCATGCTGTTTCTTAAAAGTCCCTCTTAAAAAGTCAACGGACTACAAGAGCCAATTTTTTTTTTTTCTTTTTTTACAGTGGTGCAAGGTGGCTTTAAGGAGGTGTCAATGTGCTGTTAAAAATAATCCACTTCCAACGTAAGTGGCTGACTGTGAGGTCTCCCCCAGCCCTCTGTGCCCTCTGCTAGCTGCAGAAAGCCTCACAGGCAGCCCTGGCAGGTTGGGCAGGCGCCTAGGTGAAGCAGCCTGCAGCGAGTCCCATGCTCTGGCGTGAGGATGTGCGAGAGCTTCAGTGCCTTCCTGCCCCACAGGAGCCTGTTGCACGGGTGTTTGGCCTGGTGGGAAGGCAGACGATGAGGCAAATGGCAGTAATTAACGCAGCCTTCATTGCAGCGGTGTTTGATCTGTGGAGATGTGGCTGGCAATCTGCCTGATTACTTTTAGCTTTCCGAATAAGCAAATATGTAAAAACCCCGCAACTCAGATTAGCCTTTTAAGTCCCCAAGGGACATAAGCTTTTTAAAATAAAACAAAACAACTAAAATCCCCTCCTTGTGCAGAATTCAGATCCTGGAAGGAGAGAAGATGGAGACTCAGATGTGCTGAGGGCTTTGCCACCATCTTGATTTTTGGGTGGAAGCTGCTCAGACTGTAGAGTAACTGTCTACTTGTGCCTGTAAATGGATGAGCTCTTTAAGGTACCAAGTGGTGAACTGACTCCACAATTAAAAGCTTCAGCATGAGTGAAGTGTGCAGTAGATTGGCTGTAATTATTCATGGTTGCAGTGCATAGATAATGTTTCCAAGCATATTTTGGAGGCAGAACAAAGAGTCTGGATGAAGGGAGGTGGTTGTTGTCTCCCCCATGTCCTCTTAAACCTCTGCAACTTCAAATCAAGTTTTCGCAGCTCTTCCCTTTAGAGGGCGTCCATGTCACACACATCTTCGACGTGCAACCCTTGCCCGGGAGCTGCAGTACATGGCAAAGCCTCCCAGAGGTCAGCAGAACATGGTAGCTCTTCTGAAGAGTCTGTGAACCTTCCTAGGGATGCGAAGGGGGTTACGGTCTGGTTTGAACAGTTTGAGTTGAACATATTCTCCTTCCTCAGGCAGTTGCAATGCTGCTCCCAAAGGCAATTTGGGCATAAATTTGGTAGATTTCTTGTGGCCAATCTCCATCAGTCACAGTATTTTCTTGCTACAGTCTTTGAAAAGACTTAAAAAGGCATGGAGATCTACATGTGAACATTTTGGGGCTGCTTTCAACTTCCCGACAGAGGATCTGGAGGGGATTACTTCCTCCAGCAAACCATATGCTACATTAAGCCCCCATATTTCAGTTTTCTGAAGGCACTTCAGTATCTGGCCTGCGAAGCCACAGCATTACCCTCTACAAAGAATTCTGAGCTCTGCGGTGGGGTATTTGGTTATCCCCAGAGGAGATAACAGGAGAATGGGGAGAATATGTGACAGAGAAGGGAAAAGCAGGAAGACAAACAGTCTTTGTCAATGACAGAACCTCTCCAACTTCAGCTAGGCTTTGATCCCACGCTAAAATTGAAGGACAAGGTCTCCTCCCAATTTCCCACCCATTTCCCCTCTTGGCTGCCTGTAAGTCCCTCCAGGGAGAAACTCTCCATGCTTACTGACAGCAATTTGATTTCCCCCCCTGCCTGTCCCGGTCCCACCCTGCAGACAGGGTTCCATAAAGCCTGGAGAAACAAAGCATCCGTTCATTCAGAGACACCCCGCTGCAGTTATCATCTTTGACACATGGCTGGGGGAAGCAACCAGGGTATTTGAACACATTAAAAAGCAAGTCCCCCATTGCTAACTGCGTCTGGCAGCCACCAGCCCCCTGCGTGGTTTGAGCGTACGAAGCACGGGGAGACGCCGAGGTGCAGGGGGTAGCTGGATTGATGCTTGTCTCTGTTACATATGTTGTGTGCACAGCAGTGCACAAAGAACAGTCCTCCGGGGTACAGCTGGAGATTGCTTGCTGATATTTCAGGTGCCAGACTTCTGAGAGAAAAGATCTGTAGTGTTAAAAAAAAAAAAAAAAAAAGCCTGCCATGAGCTCCCAAATCCTGGTGTCTGCTGCTTCAAATCAGTCCCAAGAAATACCAGAAAGGCTCTTTGGAGCTCAGTAGCAGGCGAGTAACATCTTCCCACCTGGGATGAGGCACGTTGCAGACAAAACGTCCTTCCCTTCTCCCAGCAGCAAAGCTCTTAAGCCTCCATTTAATGTTAAATACACGCTTAAGCCCATTCCTCCTCAGTGTGTCCTGTGTGCTTACATAGAATTTTAGCAGGCTCAGAAATGCTCTGCTGTAACTGGAGGCTGTCTAAAGGCTGAACCTTGTACCCTGAATAACAAGACCTTTATCTTTACAGAATATCTGTGCAACGAAGGGATGGCTTTTCTGGGAGCGTGGTGGTATCTGCAAGCAGGGCTATGGTCTGGATTCCTGCAGGTGGAGAACAGAAAAGGTTCCCTTTTCTTCTTCCGATGGTGCTGAACAGCAGAAGAAACGGCAACTTCAGCCACTGACTTGATCGCTTCAGGTCTGGTGTCCCAGCTAGGCAAAGTGACCGTCTTGTCAAAGCTAGCCAGATTGCATTCACAGCTTCGTTCCTGGGAGGAGTCGATCGGAACAGAGAGTAGACAACAAATTGTTCTGATTGCAGTGCATGCACGGAGAAATCCCGGGGCCAGACATATGCACTTGTTGAACAATAGCAGTAGGAATCCAGCTTCTTCATGGATGGATATGTTTAATTAAAATATATATCCTCAGAGCATACCCAGAGATGGAAAATGTGTACAGCTACACAAATGCACTCAAAGATGGTAGGAAAAACTTAACACTGTAGGGATAGTGAAACCAGGAGTAAGATTTCCATTACAGAAGGTCTTTAAGGCCAAGCTAGATGAAAAAATTACCAGGAACTGAGAGTTGACCTTGCTTTGGGCAAAGAGATGGAGCTTCTCTATTTTCTGTGTCA